AAGGGGATATTACATTAATGGCAGGAAACAAAATGAAAGGGAAGGAAACTCATTTTGCATATTCTTTTGGATGGGGATATTTGTGATTTTTTGTTTTTTCCACTGGGGTTTTATTTTCTTCTAGACATGTTGCCAGGCACGGAAACTTTGCCAGTGGTATAGTATTGCAAAACTTTGCCTCTCTATCTTTCTTTGCTTTAGTGATTCTGTCCGCAGCTATGGAGCATGCAATACCCTCGGCCCATGCTACTCTTCCTCTCTTCCACCTTCCAAATAAAAAGTTCCTGCCATATCTTCCTGCTATAAGAAAAAAAGTGCAGAAGTAGAACTATTCAGCAGATTTTAATGTAGCAAAGCACAAGGATACACAGAGCAGACCCAGATAAATGAGGCTTTGACATTTAGAAAGAGGTCAGCAGTGCATTGCAACCTGGAGGACAGAGGGCTTCTGAGCGAAGGCAGTGGTGGAGCCAAGTGACACCATCAACTTCTGTTGAACTCACGACTCCATTTTGATTCAAGCTGGACTGAATGGGGATGCAGAGGTGAGCATAGGTGACATGATCTCTGTTTCTTAAAAAAAATTGCCCTTCGAGAATAACGACCACCATGCACCTTCTTTGCTGGAAGGAAAGGATCATAGGATAGGAGTATAAGCCTAGCAATGATACTGTCACAGCCAGGGAACATCCCATGACAAAGCCTGCTATGGTACATGTGTTCATCAGCACTTGATCCTGTGGTCAAAAACCTGCCAGTGGAGCTGATAACCAATAGAGATGGGATCACTACACTCTGAATGACCACAACAAACTTCACTGGTACTCTACTATTGGGCATCATCTGCACCAAGTAAGAATTTTGTTTGTTATGGACCTACATAAAGGTCATTTTTTCTGTCCCCAAAGTCCTCCTACATATGGTGGCCAGAAGTGACCTGGAAGTAGCCTGAAATTTTTCATGAAGGGGTTTCTGAGAGCTATGAAGGATGGTGGAAACAAGAGATTTTGAGGAAGCTGCTAAAAATAATCCCCAAAAAGCAGATCTGGCATCCATAGAATTGTTTAGGTTGGAAAAGACCTTTAAGATCATTGAGTAAACTGTTAACCTAGCACTGCCAAGCCCACCACTAAACCATGTCCCTAAGCACCACATCTACACATTCCAGTGCTTGACAAGCCCTTTGGTGAAGAAATTTTTACTGACATCCAATCTAAACCTCCCCCGGTGCAACTTGAGGCCATTTCCTCTTGTTCTATTGCTTGTTATTTGGAGAAGAGACCAACACCCACCTCACTACAACCCCCTTTCAGGTAGCTGTAGAGAGCAATAAGGTCTTCCTTCAGCCTCCTTTTCTCTAGGCTAAACAATCCCAATTCCCTCAGCCGCTCCTCATAAGACTTGTTCCCTTCACCAGCTTCGTTGCCCTTCTTTGGACATGCTCCAGCACCTCCATGTCCTTCTTGTAGTGAGGGGCCCAAAACTGAACACAGTACTCGAGGTGCGGCCTCACCAGTGCCGAGTACAGGGGGATGGGCACTTCCCTAGTCCTGCTGGCCACACTATTGCTGATACAAGCCAGGATGCTGTTGGCCTTCTTGGCCACCTGGGCACACTGCTGGCTCCTGTTCAGCCAGCTGTCGACCAACACCCCCAGGTCTTTTTTGCCAGGCAGCTTTCCTACCACTCTTCCCCAAGCTGGTAGTATTCCATGGGGTTGTTTTGACCGAAGAGCAGAACCCAGAGTGCTTTTGCTACACTGAAAAGGGAGAAAGAATGGGATGTTGGATGCAGTGCTGGCCAAGAAAGCATGTTCCTGGGTCTCACTGACAGATGAGCACTACTGCTGTGCTAACCAGAGAGCTCCTGCTAGAAATGGAAACTTAGGCCCCAGTATAAATGCACTCATTTGTGCCGTACCTGGTAGTCTGCTGATCCTGCATTGACAATTGTGACCTAAAGTGATCTGGCTGTGAGCTAAAGTTCAGAGTCAAACTGTGTATGAATTGCTAATTCATCCTTCTCCTGAACTGTCTGGTGCCAGTATAGCACACTGAAATCAGAGAAAGTGCTAGTTAAGTAACTTGTGCAATGGATGGTGCTTGATGTTTTAGTCCCGTTTTTCCAAGTGTTCTGTTTCAAAACCTCCATATAACTTTGAGCTATAAAAACCTAATAGATTTACTAAGGATTGGGTGTTGTTTTGGTCTGACCTTCCTATCCCACAGAATAATATCTCATGTTGAGCAATTACTTTGATTCATTATTACCATTTTTTTTGCCTCTAAAATACACACTTTTGGATTAAGTAAAATATTAAGCCTTTTGAAGCATAAGTTCAATCACTAGAAATTGAAATAAGCCTTTCACGCTTTATAAAAGAAATTTAAACTTCCATTTATAATGGAAATAGTACTTTAAATTTGAATGTGCTTTTGTTAAAAAAAGTGAATAACAAATTAAATTATTTGCTTTGAGGTTAAGGGGTGATTTTTTCACAACCACTATTGCTTTTGCTACTATATGATTATTATTGTAAACCCAATGACTTTGAACTAAGAATCGCATCTTCAAATGCTATTGAAAGTAAATTTCATTATATTTTTCTGAAACATTTTAATCAGATCATATAAACTCAGGCAAATGAGGTAATATACAATATGTGTCCACTTTTCACTCTCCATAATAATTGCTTCAGTTACACTTACCTTCTCGAATACAGTTACTCTAATTATCTTATTTTGCAAGTTGGGATCTTTTTAACTGTTAAGTTTGTCTGGAGTCAGCAGCTACATATTACATACCGTCCATATAATCTTTAATGGTAAATACATACTGATTTAAATGAAGTTATTCCAACCTAAGAAAAATAAATATATAATTTGAAATATTTTGAAGTCAAAGGAACAGATACATATGCCTAAATACAACATGCACTTGTGGATTTTTTTTCCCCAAAATCCTATTTTGTATTGTAGACATGATCTTACATATGCAAGTGTAATACTGTTTTTAAATTGTATTTCTGAAATAAACCAACAATTTCATCTTGTTGCTTACATTGTGTTAGTGCTCATGTTTTTAGCTTTAGCAATATGAGCTACTAGCAGTGTATGTTCAGATACTGTGTCATGTAAAGACTATACTTTGACTATCCAGAACATAAAATTCAACCTTGCTAATTGGAAGTTCTTTTGGCTTTGGTACAAAATGAAATCCTTTTGAGAGGATGCTATCCTCTTAACCTATGAAAAACAGAGACACAAAATTAAAAACCTTTTCTTATACAATCTTATGAGACTCAATCACTTTGGACATAACCAAGCAATATCTTATAGTTCAAGGAGAAAAATATCAGTTCAACTTTTTTTCAGATCATATAGTTTATTAGTTTTCAGATGTTATTCTCAAAGCAGTTGTATTTAGAAATTTCAGAAAGGTTCTAATTCAGTTTTTAGGGTAGACAAATTTTCTTTGGGACTTGAATAGAGTTGAACTTGTACTCTGTCCTCTCATTCCTTTGATGAGAACCTCGGTCACAGATTTGAACATTTATTGATTAGTTAGTTTTCTACAGTTTAATTAATGAATTAATTTATTTAATTAGTTGAATTAATTAACATGTTCAACTAATTAAAATTATTACTAATACATTCCAACTTTCTAATGCAATTTCTTTCCTTGCCAAATATGTATCAAGGCCTATTTTATCCAAATCATCTTCAAGTCAGAGGACAGGAATGCAGTCCAGAATATCTGGATTTCATTTTCTTTTGTTAACAAAACATATTCAGTGTAGGTTAGCACCGTCTGTATTTGCCTCTTTTTATTTCCTCGTTATTCATACAAAGCCATTTTTTCATTCCTCATGCTTGCTCAGCCAAAGTGTCACCCAATGTTCTCATTTATTTCCTCCATTCCTCGTGGTGATTACAAGCCTCACAGATACTAAAGTAGTTTGTTGATGACTCCTTCTGTACTTTTCACTAGTAATTGACAAATCAAGTAGTTAGCTGAATAGGCAACTTGTGATGCGATACATTGATTTATCTTAAAAGTTTGCATAATAGGTTTAGCTATGATTAATTTAAAAGGAATTCTTCTATGAGTATATGGCATATGTGATAAGCATTTATCACCATTTGCTTCAAATAAGGGGTGGTGCTAATCTTGGAAAGAGCTTTGTATGTTTGTTGGATGGAAGCTGAATGCCACCTCAGTTGAAAATGCTGACTCATCTAAGTCTGATTTCCATTTAATTTACACTCAGCACAAAGCAGCAAAAGAGCTAAATAGTACCTTCAGAGGAGGAAACTAAAACTATTGCTTGAACAAGTCCTTGTAAACTACGGAGTTTAGAGAGAGAGGAAAAATATATTTTAAAAGGCATAGATAGGAGTAGACTCTTACAGAACAAGGATGTTGAGATGTTTGCAGTGACTTGAGGGGCATACTAGTTTTGTTTGTCTAACAGCAGCAGAGCTGAAAAATTGCCAGTAACTTGTATCGAGATATCAATGTGGCAGTGGAATGAGGAAGGCTGCAGTGGTTTACCTCTTGGAACCTGAGGCCCTTCCTGCAGTTTTGGGGATCTTTGACTTTTAAGCTGTCGGGATGTTAGCACATACCTGCACCTCGACGTAGGTCAAGTGGCATCAATGGATTGGCATCAATTTCTGCCACAGTAGCCTTGGCAAAATTTCTTGGTGAATTTTTCCTGGGACAAGGACAGTCTGTCACTTTTGAATTCTTATTCCCTTGAAATCAGTAGGACTTCCCATCAGCAGTAAAATCCAGATTTCACTCAAATGTGTAAGCAATATTTTCTAGCAATAAATTTGTTGTGTAGTTCTTGTTGGCTGTTTTCCCCCGTGCTATTGGAATTTAATTAGCATAGCACAGATTATCTTTTAGTAAATATGCAGCATGTTTATAAAAGCTAAATTGTCTTCCTGGTATGTTTCACTGACTGGTAAAATTAATGTCTTTTATTTGTTCAGATGGTTTTTTGGCCCAATCAAACGAGCAGATGCCGAGAGACAACTGTCATACCCTGGAAACCAGGCAGGAGCCTTCCTAATCCGAGAAAGTGAAAGTCAAAAAGGCGAATACTCTCTTTCAGGTATATTCTAGTTTTTCATCTTCATCAAGGTTTTAAAAATTTCTCAGGTGATCTGGACTTTTTAATTTTTGAGAATGATAAACTATGTACATGAAAATGAAATTAATTTCATAATAATATTTCTTTCCCAGAAGATATATAAAGAAAACTTGGCAAGAGTAATTTGGGTTTTTACTAGCATTTATTTTATAGGCTTTTTCTATCAATATGCTCAGAACACAAATTAACTTTCTTATGTTTAGTACTTCCAGTGCTTCAGCTGCCTTAAAATAGAAACTATTTTCATGATTAAAATGCCAAAAAATACATTACAGTTGTACTCTACTGTTCTGGTTAGTACACAAAATAAAAATTAAACCATGTTGGCCATCTGCCATTTAAGAAAATGAGATTTCTGCTAGAGCACACATTTAGGTTTGTACTTGTTTGTTTTCAGGGGCAAAATGATAGGAAGATCTTCAAAGCTATACTTTCAAATTTGTCATATTTCATTGAAAAGTTAGGTGTAAACATCCGTAAAAAGTTAGATTTATGATGATGATGATGGGTTTTGAAATGTATTTAAAGTCCTTTATTTGAATCCAGAAGACTAATCAAATAAGGACACTTATTTGATAGTAATTTTACTTACGTATATGTATATGTCATCTTTTTCAGGTCACAGATATTTGCCATATTAGATAGCGAACATGATTGTTCACTGCTTGTTTCCTGCGAACATTTTCTATCAAACTTGTCATACAAGTGTGAGTCAAGAGTATAATGTTGACCCTGAGACAACAGGGCTATACACCCAAATTTCTTAATGTGCTGTGCCTTTATAATTCCATATGCCAGTAAAGACTCTTCATGTTTGTGAATAAACCGTAAGTTGTCACGTGCAGAATTATGTCAGTAAAATAAGAGGCACCTTGTGCATAACCAAATTCTTTCATATTGACTCCTCTTCTGCCTGGATGTTTATGCGTCAGTCACCTTCCGAGCATTACACAGAAACACAGTAAGCAGCTTAGTGAACTTCTGACACATTGTTGGTGTCTCTCTCTGAATTGTAAGGAAAGGGTGTAGCTACAACATCTTGTGGTAATGGGAGGGTTGCTTTTTGTTGCCAAGACAAAGAAATATATGTTGCCCGTGGCAAGAAATACAGGGAAGTTTATGAAATTAATATGGTATTTACAGTTCTGGGAGAATTCATTCCATAGTCTTCAGTTTGCCCTCAAGGAAGTTTGTTCTTGCCAAGACGCGCTGATATGAAAACTAACATCAGCAAGGAATCAGATTGCTCCCAAACTGTGACTGAACTGACCCCTGTGTGTGCACCCTTTTAGCCAAAGATTGTATTATGGCTGCAGACCTTTCAAAATGCTTTCCCTCTATATGCCAACATCCCTGTCTGGCGTGTTTTCAGCTTCTTTCAGGTGTTCATCAGCAAACTGATTTTGTCCAAGGACTGGACTGGACTGATAATAGCATGTCGTTATGCAGGGAAGGATAGATAGACCTGTATTATCTGCTTAATCCTGGCACTTGAATACATACCACCTTACTAAAAATCAATGGAAAATCTTGTGCTTGTGAACTTAGGGGTGGAAATGCAATTTCTTTTATTATTCTTCAACTGTAGCCTTCTAGGAAAGATTCAAAATCTTAATTCTTTATCCTGCATCCTAGCTACTTCTCTAACAGGAAGGCAGCAGTGCCTTATTTAGACTATGAAGTGCCACAGAGAAAAACTCAAGAGAATGAAAATAAATATTAGGTCAGCATTTGTGATAGGATGAGATCATTGTTTGATGCTGCTGTTTAATTTTTTCCTTACAAACTGTGGATAGAAACTATATTCTATCTGATTTAGTATGTTTAATTAAATTATGAATGCTTGTGGTAGACATTTTTCAGGTTTCTGTATAGGCTTATTTGGGAACAGGAGAGTTGATGATGGCTGGTAACAGCAAGATATGAAACTGTCAGTGTGGATTTCTTCCATGCTGGTTTGTTTGATGCAGAAAGGGAAGAGTGGTGCTGAAGAACATAATATATGTGGAGGCAAGGCTCCAGCTACAGGAGACAGCCCTCCTTCATGCACAAACATGAGTTGTCCTCCGAGCATGTATGCATGTATATATGTGTCATCTCAGATTTATTAAACATTTGTGCTCTTTTAGGCAAAGAAAGAGAATAAACTCTGAAGCAGTCTGTAGACAGTGAATATTAATGACATGATTTACCAGCTCTGCTAGATCTTTTAGCAGCTTCCCAGACTTGAACGTAATTTAGCCTCGACATGCTACTTCATCCTGAAGAGCTAAATATTATTTGCTGCTTACTGAACAGGCTTGACTGAATGGTGTCTGTTTGTGTTGTGCAAGCTTTTTTGCTTCCAACCTAATAGTACACATAATGGTCCAGACATTGTATGTCCATAATCTCATTACTTATGTCTACTTCTGGGAGAGCTAGCACATTCTAAAGCAAATGATGAAGTGGATTGTACTATGGGGAGAATTAATTGGAAGAAAGATTGTTTAGTCCACCAGATGCTATGGAGAAGGCAGTTTTTCTGACTCTCCTCTTTGTTCCCTCAGAAGAAGTTACGAGATGCTCAAAGCTAAGGCAGAAAAGCAGTGTGTTCTTGAGGGGTAGTGAGTCAGGAGTATTTCTTTTAAGAGGTCCTGGATGGCTTCTATCTCCATGGTAGCTGATATACTGACAGAAGAGAAGTCAGAGACTGATATTTTGGAATATAGCTCTAATTTCTGTTTCCATTTTTTTTCAGTGCAGGAAGAATAGACCCCCAAACTCCCATGCTCTGTAGGACTGGTTGGGTTTGCTCTACCTGTTATTGCTGTTTTGGTTGCACTCCAGAGCAGATCATAATGACTAGAAGAGTGACAACCTAGCTTTCAGAATTAAGGTTTTTAAGGAAATATTGTAACTCTCTGTCCAGCTTAACATTTAAGTGTAATAAAGCTGAAAAGTAAAAAAAAATAGAAAAGGAAGAGAGAATTTTACTGAAGCACCCATAAACTGATTTTATGACTTTCATGCTTGATTTCGTACCCATATGGCAATGTATAAGAGACTTAATGTTAATGAGGGAGACAAATGGATCTCCTCAGGAAAAAAAAAGAAAAAAAAAAGAAATAAACCCTACCTTTCATTAAAACGACACTTTTCACTTTTAACTTGCCTTGATGGACAAACTCACAATTTGTAAATTTGGATGAAAAATTACTATTTAAATTTAAAAAAAAAGTCATGTTCAGAAAGGTTTTTCTCAGCTATGAATAGTTTAACGGAAAGCATATCAAACCAGATAGGCCACTGAGATGTGTTGCTATCATTTTAAAGTGTTTGACATTTTAAAAATAGGTTTTCCCATTTTAAAAATGCACATGTTGTCGACAGATTTTTATGTTGATGACTCCAGCATCTGGTGTGAAATGTATTAAATTTTAAACATGTTGGTGCCATCTTAGACATTGCCTCTTTTTAATTAAAAGCCATAATTTAGATGTGCTCAGCTTAATTGAGTGTCATTGCCAATGTTAGCAGGAGGCTCTCTACTTCCCCCCTCACTGAATAATGGTATCTGAAAGACTGATTACATTAAATGACAATGTAAATGGTTTGTGTTTTCTTCCATTTTTTTTCCCTGCTCCTGAAAAAAGATTATGTGGTTTCCTCTAGGCCAGATTAGCTTTCAGCATAGGAAAAAATAGGTTATAGTTTAAGGCAGCAGACTGATAGGAGTGGCAAAATCATGGCCGTAGCAGGAGAACGATTTCGGAGCAGCCCCTGCACCCGTTCTGTGCTGGTGAGGGTGATCTCATAAGCCACCCTCCTCTCACATCCACCCTGGGCATGGAGACCAAGCACAGCTCCTGCCGGCAGCGCCGCACTGCCAGTGCTGGGTGAGGACTGCTGACAGGAGAGATGCTGGGACGCTGATGGTAACGGTATCGTGGTGTATCCATGATTTATTTGGTGAAGAAGTGGACCCTGTTGATGCCACCATAAAATTCAATTTTGCTGCCCTAGGAAAGGAGTAGTAAATTATTTGATTCTCATTCTTGGGGTGGAAAAATCTGCTTCTGTGTGGCCCAACCATATGAAGATGGAAAGCAGGGAGAGGGGGATGCCTCTGTTAAAGTCGAGAAGAAAACCACTGCAGCCTTCCAACCTAGCTGCTATCAAACTGTGTGAAGCTGAAGTTGAGATCCTGTCCTGTTAGCCTGGCATGGATGTAGGGATGACTGGAAGCACTGAGGGAGTTATGGCTAGCTCTTCCCTGAGGGACATGTGCTCTGTGTTGTATTGGGCAGCTCTGCGAGTGTGTGGTGCGGGACTCGTACAGCCAGACTCAGCCCTGGGGTACCAGTAAACAGCCCCCTGTCAAATACTGCACTAATCATCTCAGCTACTTATCATAAGCAAAGATGGTATCAGCGCAGAAATTTTCTCCAGATTCTCCACACACATCACTGCCTGACCTGTATACTGCCAATCATGAGGCTTCTACAAGGCTCATTTAAGAAATTATAGCACATCCTTCAAAACAACTCTTGCATTAATATTAGCTGCTTCACAAATAATAATTATAATGCTGCTAATAAATAAAGCAGGTACTCAAACTACTATCACATGTGATATGCAACCGAGACTGGATTAACACAGTCATCCCGTTGGCCTTTTATTCATCATAAATAGCAATTAATTTGGTCAGATGCACTGTACTGTGAGCTTTGGAAAAGCCATCACATTTCCAGTCTGTTGTTATTGAATTACTCTTTCCTTTGTTTTGCTTCAGCCCCATTTCCAAATGATACTTCACAAAAATATACACGCATTTTATAATTAAAAAATACTAATTACGAGGTGTTAAATTAAAAAGAAATGGCATTTGAAAAGTGTGATGTAATTATCTTTATACTATGGAGTTATATTTACAAATATTCTTATTTCTGATCCTCATGCAGAATTGTAAGTTGGTAAATCAGCTCTCAAAATATTACCTGTGGCAGATACAAAATCTCCAGATGTTGCCAGCAGCTCCTGTATGCCCTCTGGTGGCCCAGGACAACAATCGCATAGTAGAGTAGAAAAATATTTGATCATACATGACAGTACTTAAGGAAGGAGAGATTTTTCTTTTTAATCACTTAAATAGTGAGAGAAATTATACTTTGTATCAGCTTTGTTAATTGCATGCAACTCATAATTTTCTATAACTTTTTCTACATACAATATGTAGTTTGTTAGTATAACCAAAGTGATTGCCAAAATTCATGCAGTGTTACAATATCAAGGACCTATCAGCTAGAATATCTCCAGGAGAGAACATAACTTTTTAGACTGAGTCTGCTTCTAGGATTGAAAAATATTTCCATTGGATTATTAAACTAAGAGTAGCCACTAGTCAACATGACTAAATTGAGTATCTTTTTTTGGAATTTTGGCTACTAAAAGGTATACTAGAGGTAAACAGCAGAAGGTCTTTCCCCTATGCCTCCCTTTTGCTTTTCAGACTTTCATCTTGCATGAGGGCCCTGAGAAGGGGACAGTAGTAGTAGTGTCCCAAATCGATGGGTGTGGAAGGAGCCACCTGGCCTAGAAAGGTGTAATATTGGGTGATGAGGACCAGGATGGCAACTGGAGCATCCACCTCCCCCTGCGAGCTCTCTCCTCACTCATCATGGAAAAGCACTGTGTTGTTTCATTAGATGGAGGCTGGAATAACCCCTCTGACAGGAGCTGAAGTTACCCTTCAGTATGTGACACAGGCTCTCCATTGCCATTGGAAATGGACAGAGATGTCTCAGTCATGGAGTGTCGTGCTAAATAACACCCCACGTGAGAGACCACATCCCCTTCCAGCCCTTCAGAACTGCTCTCTCTGCTGCCTCTCAGCCTGCTGTTGCTGCTGATGATATTCCTTTGCAAAGGAGATCTCTAAGCCAGGGGTGTCCAAAATTTTTTGACTGTGCACCCCAACCAGTAAAAAGATTTTTGAGCATTCACCCCTGATATGTATTTACTTATTTATTTATAAATTATATACATATACTACTGCACAGATAAATTATGTGCATT